AACGCAGTATACAGAACATCGACAGTTTAGTCCCAGGCCTGGCGAGCGCTCCAGCGACCGCCCTCTGCGTCGAGACGAACGGTTCCAACTCTGTCGGGTGTTTCTGTTGTGCTGCTATTGTGGATGAGTGGACTGTTCTGCGCGTTCGTTTTCCTTGTTTGTGCGTGCATGTATTGGGCAAGCGGGCGAGAAGATGCATAAAAAGGCTCGTCAGTGACGCGTCCCCGGAACCTTCCGCGGTGACAGCCGCGCTTGCATGCCCTCGGACGGTCAACGCAACAACGACGCTGACACGAAGGCGAGGCCAGGGGGGCCAGGAGTGAAACATCATCCTGAGAGACAACGGCGAGCCCGCGCGGATCATGGCCGATCTCACCTGCCTCAGCAACCCTGCCGCATCGAGACGCAAAAAGGAAGGCCGCGGGTGTTCCGCTCGCTCTCCAGACGGAAAGCGCTACCAGGAGTGCTGCCCCTGTCGTCGAAATGGCGTCGGCGTCGAAAGCGTCGCCATTCGCGTTCACGTTGTAGTCGTCGTCGTCGTTGTCTCCACGACGTCCTGGACGAATCGTCGTCGTCGACGTCATCGTTGTGGTCTTCGGCGACAGCGTCGTCGTCGTGGTCGTGGTCGTCGTCGCCATCGTCGTCGTCGACGTCGTCGAGCGGTCATCGTCGTCGTCGCTACCGTGGTCGTGGTCGTCGTCGCCGCTTTCGACGTTTCCATGCCGCCGCCGTCGGGGCCCCCGAGCATCGCCACTGCTACGCACCACCAACGCGGCAGACCGCCTAAAACATGCCAATCTGCTTCGCACAGATGTTGCAGAGACGTGAACGAGATGATTATCTGGTCGGACTGGGTGACCCTGTCATCCATTCCAGAGAGAACTAGCGCCTAGAACTCGGCTTGACCACGCCACCCAAAGCATCCACGCGGAATACCAAACAAACCTGCCGAATTGTTGCACGAGAGATGCGCCATCGTCACAGCGAAATACACCAAATCCTTCAGTGCACGCTCTTGCGGGTAAGCACGATGCCGCCGAAGAGGAGGGACTGCTCATGGTCCACTGCGCCTGATGCGAATAGCATGCTCATTTCTCGTCGCTGCCGTGCCGACATAGAGCGATCCGCTCCGATAAGCTGCTTCCAAGTAAGTGGGCTCACGTGAAATTGAGCAATGACAGAACCTCAAAAACCTGCGCTGCGCGCATTGCCCTGGGTGCCCATGTTCGACACGCCAGCGTACTTATCATCCCCGCCATGCGATGCTTCACAGTTGCAACGTCGCCGACAAAGTCTACGCGCCAACGGGCGTCTTGGTCGGTGAACAGGTTCATGCTGCACACATGGAAATACAAACTCGTGCCTACCTGAGCGACGAGCTTCCTCGTGCAATTGAGGTCACCGCTGCCATCCCGCATCGGCTTCTTCGTGATCACTAGAGCTCTGACGGCGTTCTGGATTATGTGCAGAACTACCTCTGGCGGCGCACACTCCGCCATGTATGCTGGGCGACGGCAGTACGGCGACGATCGGAACTTGCCACAAAAAGGAGGCATGATCACCGACTCCTCGCCCTTCTCGCTCCAAAGTACCCCTTCTGCAAGCCAAAATATCAGGGCGTACCAGCACCTCCCCGTGCCGACAGCAAGGAAACCAGGAAAAAGAGGCTTGTGCTCATGGGCGGAGCTACGCTCACAGCCCAACTGCAATGCTACGAGCCAAAGTGGCAACAGCGACGACAACGCTGGGGCACTCCTGGGCGCTCCTTAGCCTTCGGCAATGGCCCCAACCACGCAGGTCAAAACCTGCGTGACCGCACGACACGAACTCCGAGAAGGAAAAAGAGGAAGACGACGAAGAGCGGAACGAACGTCTCACACACACGGAAAGGCCGGACCGACTCCCACTAGCCCCAGAAGCCCGAGCTGCTCACGCCGCGAGACACCCGATCGACTCACCCTGTGGGAAACTTGAAAGTTACCTGGAACTGCACCAAGGACAACCGTGTATAATACTATATCCTGACAATTGGAACACCTGCAACGCCAGAGAACTAGACCCCATGCCCCTGGACACCCGGAGGCACGATAAGCCTCGATCCACTACATGGAACGAGACGGGATACGCCGACAGTCATGTTGAGGGCCTCGAGCTTGTGCATACCTGCAAGACCTCTCCGCGCACTGTACTCCTGCACGACTACGAAGAGCGTTCTACCTAAATCGACTGTGTCCCGTCTTTCCAGAAGGCAAAGCGAACCACTTCAGCCCACGCGTTCCGTAGCGCTCCACGCGTCACCTGCGCGCGAGTGCGGCAGACGACACTTGGAACGACGACTCCCAGACCTCCACATGTGCCTACTCAACATCCGCAGGAAAACTGGCGCACCACTCGTACTCTCTTGGGAAGAGGCACAGGGCAACGTTGAACTTCTGTGCATGTCTTTCTGTGCGTTCTTGATGTGTGTCGGACCGCCTTTGATGTATGCGTGCTTCTGTAT